GGAGCACACTACAAAACATCCAATGCTTGCAGAACTTAAGAGACTTCCACCTTGATCTAAAATTTTATTCTCGAGTATTAAATATTGGAATCACCTGAAAACTTCTGATTCTTTGGCTTTTAAACTTTACCAATCCAGAAGTAACTGCAATTCCTGGACTTAGAAATAATTTCTACTCCAGTTAATCTGGGATTTTCAAACAGTACAAAACATAAAGGTTCCATTCAACAGCTTTTACTCAACATAAAACAAAGAATCATTGACCAGTGCACTCAAGAGCAAACATAAAAAATCTTTGGTTCAGAAAAACATGAATTCTATAAAAAATTATACTCAAGAAAAAGAAGTCCATAAATTATGTTGATTTACTCAGAAAAACATCTGAGGGATAATCTTAGTAGAATTAGATTAAGTGCACATAAACTTTAATAGAAAGTACCAATATTATAGTGAATATTGGTATTTAACGGAACAGAACCAATTGTGAATTTCTTTATATTTACTATTCTTATTTTTAAAAATATCAAGAGTCTGAATCTGAACCTTATTTATATCAATAAACGTTGAATTAGTTAACGCATATGTCGGCCTATGACACATTACACATATACCTTTTGTCTTTCGCTAATTAAAACAATTTTCAATTGCCAATGATGAACATTAACCATTCAGTACAGTTTACGAGTAACTACAGATGTCTCGGCAGATCAAAAATCTTCACGACAAATTAATGCATAAACTAGAACTTATAGGCATTTTACAGCCCTCTACCTGACACTGTGGTAAAGAACTACGAACCCTAACTTATGTAATTCAAAGTAAAAGATTGATAAAGTACATTTTTTAACTTGCAATACCGTTAGAAACTGGTTATAAAATGAAAATTTTTACTGTTTTTTGTCTGTAAACATATGCCCCCCCCCCCCCCCCCGTGAAACACAAAACGCTTTGGTATGAATTTATGAAATAACAATCCATATTACCTGTAAAATATAGAATATAGTGAAAAACACAAGTTTTACCAAAATTATAGAGTTATCTCACTTTGCTTTCCCAAATAAGTAATGTTTTATGAAAATTCATATACATATCTATATAAATATATAAAAAAAACCCCGTTCAAATGTGTTAACCTTTGAAAAACTAAGAGGTAGGCGGGAGAACATTACTATCGTTTGCAGTTCTTATGTCAACTTAGGTGCAGAACTGCAGCGTTATGGTTTAAAGACTAACATATATAAAACCATAATGCTACAGTTCTGCAGCTAATGTTAACTAAAATAAAAGAATTTATTTTTTGGATTTTATACTCATTTCTATTTCCCCCACAAGGTACCCCACAACTAGTTCCGTTCCATTCCGTTTCGTTCCGCAAAGTACCAATAGCGTCTGGTGAGACACATTACAGTGACAGGTGATGTCATCCATGAGTATGAGTACCAGGAGGACGGTCAGACCAGACTGTTTACATTCCATACAGAGTCGCACAGAACAGTAACAGTGACATCTGTACTGTGAACAGTAATATGATCTATTGATTATGTTTCCCTCTGGTCGTATGAAGGCTGTCTACAAAACCTGACAGAGAGCTTTGTTCCAACTGAAGTGTATGACTCACTCTTTAACACCCTTGTTTCTGATTTTTATAAGAATCAGATCCATCTATTGAGTCCTGATGGAGAGTTCTTAAAGTTCTGACAGAGAATGTAGTGAACTATCCTTATACTTTATCCCTATATAACTCTACACTATGGGTCGGATACTATGAAGGACTTGTTAAAGTGTTTCAGTCAAGTGTGTAAAATGTGAAACTAGTATTGATTTTTATCTGAATTAGTTGCATATTTCCAAAAATATAAACATGTATAGCCTAAAAGAAGTCACAAACAAATCAAACTTTTGAGGCCAGGCCAAAAATTAATCTGGCCAAATCAGAGGCCAGGCCATTTTAGAGGCCAGGCAAGGCCACTGGAGCCAGGCCAAGTTTTGGTATTCTATAAAACATGGCCTGGCCCCATTGGCCTGATATGGCCTCCATTTATGCTCCAAACTAATTTTTGGCCTGGCCTCAAATGCTGGCCTGGCCTCAAATCTGTTTAAAGGAATTATCATATACATGTATATGATTAGTTTCAAGTTCACCAGTTCATTTTTTAAATGACCACTGGGGAAAAGATTCGCTATGGAGAACTTTCATGAATATCAGGAATTTTTCTTGTTCTTCCCAATTACAACTTGTCGCTCGCGTGGCGCAGTGGTTAGAACATCTGCTCTAGAGTCGCGGAGTAAGGAGTTGATCCTTACTTCGAATCCCACTGCGAGACGTGGAGGCCGGTCCATTAGATGAGACCGTATAAACCGAGGTCCCGTGTTGCAGTAAGTGCTGGCACGAAAAATTCTTTCACTGCTCAATGACCCTGAGTGCGGAGTATAGGTCAATTTTTTTTTGTTTAATCCTGGCATACTTTAATAGTGTTAATAAAAGAAAATATCTATTTATCAAACTAAACACAATTACACTGCTTTCAATACATTCTTCAACATTAGTCTTGTTATAAGATATAATTTAAATTAGGGATGTCAATTTTATTCGGACAGCATAGTCGAATAGTCGGAGGCTTTAGTCGAACGATAGTCGAATATTCGTTGAAATTTAAATTAATTTTTCATGTCATATTTACTATTTGTCTTTTATAGACTACTTGTACAATATTTAATCTACGCTATCACCATTATATAACGAATTTCTGAATCGTAAATATTTGGTTAGTAATAAAGATATGAATCAAGTGTCTTTCCTTTCCAATATAACATTTACTGCACATTTTATCTAAATGCGGGATAATGAGGATATCAAACGCTCGCATTTGTCCTTTCTTTTCATAACGCTTGTACATGTACCCGTTAACTAAAGCCATTTGTGCATGTCATGTCAGTGACCTGTGACTGGTAAACAATTATAGCTTATAAAAACAGAGATACAGAGCTTTGCGATAAATTTTAATAATGAGATTTTGTGCAAATAATCAATACAATTTTGAAATGACTGCATAATATATCAGAAAGAAAGATCATTTCTTTACGGTCATAACTGTCCCCCAATTTAACGTATTTATAATTATGTAACAGCTATTTAATTACTTTTTATGAAAAGTTGCATTACGTCAGATCTTATGGAATTGCAGGTTGAAACTTTATAATTTGAATCTACAAAACCAAATAATTCTTGAACTTCTTCTCCATTTACAACAATAAGAGGTAGACAATCCTTAATAATCATGTTTATGATAGCAACATTTTTCCCGGCTCTGCAGTATGGCATTTTTGGAGAAGGGGGGTTGGGGGTTGGGTTCGGCGTATGATACATCAAATTTGATGTTCCACTGCAGAATAAAAGTTCAGTTCGAATAACCGAGTAAAAATTTTTTAGTCGATAGTCGGTTTGATTGAACGTTAGTCGAGTACTCGAATATGCATCCCTAATTTAATTCGAAGTCTTAGTTATATGTTACCAGAAACCTTGGTAATGATACAAAATATAGTTTTACTCTAAAATCCCCTATTGGCAAGTTTTACTTCTTTATCCACGTTGATCAATGAAAAATGCTGAAATGCTTGCTTTGAATTTTTTAAAAATTGTTATCAATCGTTTTGTTTTGTTATCATTGTGATATATATCCCTGTTGTTTCAACAGATTTCTTGCCTTATTTCAGAGATATCGTCGAACAAATATAACTCCGTGCCATGTATGTATGACGTTTTGAATTTTGTTTACGGGCCCATTACCAGGTTCATAACATGACTTTTTCTCACAAATAAAATGATATGCATAAAGACATGTATCTCTTTAAATATTTTACAATATTAATTAAGTCTAACATTATTTAAGTATTTATTTTTATTTCACGCTGCATATGGATTGGATAAATCATATACTTTCTCAAGACAATTTTTACGACAAAAAAACTCAATTGTGAAAAATTCTCTCAATAAATATTTTTTTTAAATTTACATCTGAGTGAACATTCTCCGTTTTAATAATAAACTGTAGAAATATCGAAAGGTAAAGCTTAGTCCAATATCGCACACCCCATCATCAAACACAACGTAATTAAGCGTGATAAAAACGTATAAATATTTTTACTTTTTTCAAGAACGCGAAAACAATTATGATGTGACGAAAAAGCCTTTGCAAGATAATAACAGATATAAATACAAAAGATTTGCTAAAATCCAAACAAAAATTATGCTTGTGTTTCCTATGTCACATAATAACTCAAAAATAGGCTAACAATCACCTATGTCATAAAATTATAAATAAAATTGACCGTTTAATATCGCTACACTGACAGATTATGTATAACGTCAATGACGTGTCAGACGCGCAACGTAGGAGAAACAGAGAAGTGTATCATGATAATGTGTACATATTGATATGAATGTTTAAACTAATATTAAAAATATACTCATGAGCGATTACGTCAGGAAAAATAGAAAGTCTGTGAAAACTTCCTGGTATAATTTACATTGAAATGGTTCAACTCATGTCAACTGTGTAGGATAGGGCCACGATAGGGTTCAAGTTTTTATGTGGATATCTTCTCAAGAAAAGCAAGACCATGAATATTTACATCAATTTGCAGGCATTGTAGTGCAGATCAAAGTATATTCAAATCATGGAGCATAGAAGTAGGTCACAACAGAAGTTTTACAAGGGAATATAAAGGGATTTTTGTGGAAAATCTCGTTAAAAACAGCAGGTCATGATTCTTTATGCAAACATCCCTAGGTAACACTGCAGATTTTGTGTGCATGAGCCTCTTGTATTTAATTATTACTGGGTTTAAAGCTATAGATTGATCATAATTGAGTTGTGTACATTTTTTGTTTACAATTTAATTCATGTGTTGTCATTATGATTTCCGGTTTCAAGGGCACGGTCCTCTAATACATATGTATATTACTTTAATTTTGAAATCTAGGTCATAGATTAACAAACATGGCAGCCAGTAAACCAAAATATTCACTGGGCTCTCCACAAGAGCATATTGAAATGTGTAAAACTCATGATTTACCAATTGATGTGATTTGTGAAGACTGTGATGAATTTATTTGTGGAAAATGTGTCAAAACAGATCATAGAGATCACGATTGGAGCACAATACCCACAGCAGCCAGCCAAAGGAAGAGAGCCTTGCTTAAATTTCTGACAAAAATTAAAGAAGAGGATCTGCCTAGAACTGATGAGAGGATAAAAAAGATATCAAAACAGATCACAGAAAATAAAGAATTGTGTGATACTGAGATCAGGAAGCTTCAGATTCATTATGATGAGGTAATTGCCAGGCTGTTAGAAATCAAGGAAAATAAAGAACAAAATTTGAGAGATAATTTAAAGGAAAAAAATGAGCTGTTGAATGATATGAAATCTGAGTTAAACAAAAAGAAGAAAGAAATTACAAAGACAGTTAAGTTCATAGAAGACAATAAGAGTGCCATGTCAGATTACAGCTTGATTGTCAACCACAGAGAACTGACACAACTACTGTCTGACCTGGATATTGATATAAGGGAAAGTAAACATTCACTGAGATACAGAAAAGGAGAAATCAGTGATGAGGTACTGAATACTATGATTGGAAAAACTCTGGATTTAAAAGATATCAGTTTGACTGAAACAAGCTCATTTGAATATGATGAAGGAATATTTTTGTTGAAGGCATTTTCTGAAGATCAGTGTTACGTAAAATTATATCAGTCAGCTCACACTGAAAAAGTTAATACAGAAGGTGAGACGAAACACAAATATAATATCAATCCTGATGATCTGTGTGTGACTGATACTGATGATGTTTATTATATTGACTCTAATAATAAGTCCATCAGCTGTCTGTCACCATCAGGATCTGTCTCTACAGTCATCAGTACAGATTCACTGGAACCAGAGGGAATCTGTCAGTCAGTGGACAGTGGACTACTGGTCACCTTGACAGACAAGGAATCAGATGATTACAAATTAGACTCCAACAGCAGACGTTTGGTGAGACACATCACAGTGACAGGTGATGTCATCCATGAGTATGAGTACCAGGAGGACGGTCAGACCAGACTTTTTACATTGCCAGTCAGAGTCACACAGAACAGTAACAGTGATATCTGTGTTGTGAACCATACAAGTGACAATTCAGGGGATCTAGTGATTATGTCTCCCTCTGGTCACGTAAAGTCTGTATACCGCGGAGAAAACCTGACAGAGAACTTTGACCCAAGTGATGTAGCGTGTGACTCCCTCTGTAACATCCTTGTTACAGATCCAAATAACAACCAGATCTATCTTCTTAGTCCTGAAGGGAAGTTCCTGAAGTTCTTACTGACAAAGAACAAAGTGATCTGTCCAGTCTCTCTGTCCCTACACAAGACTACATTGTGGTTGGGATGTTCTAAAGGACTTGTCAAAGTTTTTCAATATAGAATGTAAAATGTAATATACATTGTATTGTGATTAAATCTATTTATATGAAATTAAAATATTCCCATAAGAATGTCTTTATGATTATTGATAAGTATAAGTTGATATGTAGAATGTTTGTATTTTGTTATCAATTCAACTAAGAACTAAACCAAGAAGAAATTAATGTGTAATCATTTTAACATATTTGTTTAAAAAGGTTCATGAATATTATGTTTGTTTACTTTAAATTTATAAATATTTCACTACAATGACAGCTTACAGTATTTCAAAACTTGAACATTGTAGCACAGTCATAAATTGATGCAAAATATAAAGATATTGTTTGAGGCGGAAAGGCAGTTAATAGTAAGAGTTTTATTGATTCAATTGTAATACTTTGAATTCGATCCCCAGTACAGATTGATAGTGATAAATCTTTTTGGAGTTATGACACAGTCGCAACAGGATTATATACAGTCTTTCAACGTGTTTCTAAAAAACTTTTGTTTGTTTGTTTTTTTTTTTTACTTAGTATCATCTTCTAAATCTTGTACACAACTTGATCAACACATTTAATCCATTTCACTAGTACCGGTATACAAAGTATGAAAGTTTTTTATCCTATTTAAACGAGAACTGTAAATGTTTTCTATTATATAGAACTTGGCTTAAATATGCTCTCATAATATTTTCTTGTAGGAAAACCATACTTATATATTATTTCTCGTTTTTATTTTTTATTTTCAAATAAAGTTTGAGATTTATGATGCATACATCTTGGGTTGCCTCTTTTTGCTCATGTTACATGGCAAATGGCATAAATGAAAAAAGATTTAGGAAATGACATTGATGAAAGAGTAACAAACTGATCGTTGGCGGAATATTTAACAATTGTGATTCTCAAAACTCTTTAGATCAGACGAGCTTAAAACCAGACTTGAGATTTTCATTATTAAACCTAACAAAAAAAAAATAAAAAAAAATTTAAAAAAAAATAAAAATAAAAATAAATAAATAAACCTTGAATTTACAAACCGGTATAATGCTGTAGATACAATATGAAAATCTATATGACTTATAGTATCAGAAACACAAAAATTTTTGCATGATTTTGTTGTTTGCAAGTTTGTCACAACCTGGCATTGATTCTCCAACCACTGTAGGCAATCGTTCAAAGCAACATATACCTGTCAAACACAATGCGCTGAAGTCACCAATGTGTAGCGAGATTACCGGGACTTTCTGCAGCAACATTTTCGGATATCTGCAAGATTATGAACACATGAATATAAATCTTTACACTAGAGTCTGTGCAATTTCATTTTCATTGGAAGCAGGTGACTTGGAGGCATCCCCCGTTGGTCAGCCATTGCCGCCTTTAGCCGTCTGTATTGATCAGGTAAACGGACTAATCCATTGTCAAAATTAGTATAAATGCCTAAATGCATAATGGTCTGACTATAGGTATAAAAGATGTTAGTCAAAATACGACCCTACAGTAGTTTGTATTTGCAAACAAATTCATTAGTACGATCATAGTATTAATAAGCGAAACGCTGACTTTCAATGAGATTTTACAAAGCCCTAACGAGGAACATGCTCTTCTGTACGGAATCAGTTGGCATCATAAACACCTTATGCACCAGATAATGGTATATTACTACATAAAAAGGGAAGTAAACAATGGATAAAATAAAGTCATCTCATTTGTCATATACATGTAGCACGGGATGACTTCAGCTTTTCCATCGTCAACTCCCCTTATTTATATGCAATAAATTCTAACGTCACTTGGATATGGTGTTTATATCTCCCAACTGATTCGATATGGAAGAGTGGAAGAGCATGCATTAAGTACGATCAATTTTTAAACCAAGAAAAGCTACTAAAAAGTAAGTTGATGTTCCAAGGATTTTAACAACGCGTTTAGAGTAAGCTTTTTGCAAATTCTACGGTCGATAAAATGACCTTGTTTGTAAATTAAAACATATCGTTGTGTTTTATTTTGTCTGACATGTTTCATACCATTAGTTAGGTCATTGCTTTTATTCAGAATCAATACATAAGGCTCACGGCGGGTGTGACCGGTCAAAAGGGGATGCTTACTCCTCCTAGGCACCTGATCCCACATCTATTGTTTCAAAGGGTCCGTGTTAGTGCCCTGTTCACGATTCGTTTTGTTTATTGTATTTATGAGATTGGTCACTGTTCCTAATCTTCACATTTTGTATGTAGTACACGTGCAGCTGTTTTCCATTAACGTTTGTAGCAAATAAAACATGCATATTTGAAACAGATGTGACAGGCTCTGTGGTGTCTTTTCTTGGAAGTATAATTGATATATATTGAGTCGACATATGAATGAAAGTAACATTTGTTAATTGATAAAGCGTCGTCAATATATCTAAATGTTGAATTGAAGGCCACAAAAGTTGTCTTCCTTTCATGAAGAAGTTTTTGAATAAAGAATATAAAAACAGGTCTGCTCCGAAATACCTGAGGATTAAAAGTTGGAAATAGAAACGGAAAACAAAAATGCACCTTAGAAATAAAGAACATCTTTCAAATAATTTACATACGAATATGTAATAGAAAAAAAATGTTGATGAAGAGCAGCAAAGCCATATTGATTTAGGTCAGCGTTGTGGCCCATGGGCTTCTTGTTTTATTACTACCGTGTCGTATCTAGCTATGGATTATAATTTGATAGTAAACACCTTTTTTTTCATTTCCGTCCTTGTCTTGTCAACATTGAATCTGTTTAAACTCTAGCGATCTTCACGTATACAAATACTTAACTTCTGCTGTAAATCTAGATCATTGGTAGGTGATAACAAACATGGAAGCCAGTAAAAAAGAATATCCACTGGGCTCTCCCCAAGAGCATATTGAAATGTGTGAAAACCACAATTTACCTATTGATATGATATGTGAGGACTGTGATGAATTTATTTGTAGTAAATGTGCCAGAACAGATCATAGAGATCACGAATGGAACACTCTATCCACGGCAGCCAGCCAAAGGAGGAGAGGTTTACATAAATTTTTGACAAAGATTAAGCAAAGAGATCTGCCTGTGATTGATGAAAAGAAACAGAAGATATCAAAACAAATCTCAGAAAATTAAGAAATATGTGAATCTGAGATTGAAAAGCTTCAGAAGCATTATAATGAGATGATGGCCCGGCTGTCAGAAATCATGGAACATAAGAAACAAATATTAAGGGACAATTTAAAGGAAAAAAAAAATGAAAAGTTGAATGATGTGAAATCTGAGTTAAACAAAAAGAAAAACGAGATTGAAGAGACAGTTAAGTTCATGGAGGGAAGCGAGAGTGCCATGTCGGAACATGGGTTCATTAACAACCATAGAAAACTGACACAAATATTGCTGTTTGACCTAAATGTTGATATGATGAACTGTAAACATTCAGTGAGATACAGTAAAGGAGAAATCAGTGATGAGGTACTGGAGAATATGATCGGAAAAACTCTGCATCCAAATGATATCAACTTGACTGAAACAAGCTCATTTAAATATGGAGATGAAGTACCGGTAATAGTTTTGTTGAGGGCATTGTGTGAAGATCAATGCTACATTATACATATATCACATGGCTTCGAGGGTGACATACCAGAATGTTTGCCCCAAGGTGACAGGAAAGTCCTGGAGTGTTATGTCACCCGATGCCGAAGCCTCGGTCAATATTGATATTTTTCTGGTGAATAACAAACCATATTCACCACCGAAAGAGTCCATAATTGTTTTATTATATAGTCCGGATTTGAATAAATAAGACATTGAAGGCTGCATAATACCACTTTCATTTACGAACTTCTGTCGTGGAAAATTAAAAAAAATGTCCAGATTACAAGTTTTAACTTCCGTGTTTTCCTTTTTGCTGTTTGTAAGACATCGAAATGTTTAGAAAATAATCCTGCAATAGGCGTGACTAACGTTTTTCCTGCTCAGATACACAGCTGGCTCCGGCCTTTTCAACCATTGTTTACAAAGTTGTTTGAGGTGTTGATTGTGACGTCACAATGCCACTGCACGCGCACCGACCCTCCGGTGAATACGGCTTCAAAACCAGTGAATATGTAGTGTTATGAACTGTTTGCGTTTGTATAGATTATATAGGGACTATAAATAGACTATATAATAATATTAAAAAATTCAACAGTAGGAGTTTGAATTTCTTTCATATTCGTGATAATTCTGGCGGCCCTTTTCTGTTATCTAAAAAGGCTATCAATAAAATCCTTGTTTTTGGCTGAACACCAAGCAGTGCAACAATAGGTAAAATGAGGAAAAATAAGTGTTGTAAATTTTTAACAATGCTGCATTTGACATAAAATTTCGTAAACGACATAAAATACCAATTTTTTGTGAGAGTTTCCTACACAAGGAATCAATATGTACAGACCAGGTAAGACATTCATCAATCTGTACACCAAATAGTTTGGCACTTTTAACAGTATCTAGAACAAAATCACCTACTTTAATACACAATTTTCTACATTTTGAGAGCTTTTGTGCAGTACCAATCAACATGCATTTTGTTTTCTTTAAGTTCATCGTAAACTTATTACTTTCCATCCATTTCATAGAATTAAAAAGATCATCCTGCAGCCTTTGTTCAATAACATCAATAGATTTATGTGACACATCCTGTGACGTATCATCTGCGTATAAATTAACATTAATTCACAGTAAATTACGTTTAATTCGAATTAAACTCTCCATTTGAACAGGGCGTTAATTTCATTGTTTTAATCAGCGTGCAGAAAAGACATCAGACTTGCTTTAATTTCAGATAAAATGTATTTAATGACAATACATGTAAATAACCTTTACGTTTTGTACTGAAAAACTTTGACAAGCCCTTCATGGTATCCTACCCATATTGTAGATTTGTACAGTGATAATCTGAATGGATTGTTCATAACATTTTCTGTCAGTAAAAACTTTAACAAGAGGCCCATGGGCCACATCGCTCACCTGAGCACATTGGCTAAAAGCACAAATCAGTTCAGTATTGAAAAGATTACTTGGGGGGGGGGGGGGCTTGAATTTTAAACTACCTGATGATGCTTCCATGTCAATATAAGAAATGGCTTTGTTGTACTTGAGAAGATTTTTAAAAAAATTTCCCATATATTCCTTTGTAAAAATTTGATCCCCCATTGTGACTCCTCCCTATCCCAGGGGTCATCATTTGAACAAACTTGAATCTACACTACCTGAGGATGCTTCCATATCAATATGACTAAACATACCTTTTCTGTTTTTGAGAAGAAATATTTTTCCTATATGTTCTTATGTAAAATTTTTGATCCTGCATTGTGGCCCGACCTTATCCCCGGGGGTCATCATTTTAACAAACTTGAATCTACACTACCTGAGGATGCTTCCATATCAAAATGACTAATCATGGCTTTGCAGTTCTTCTTCAGAAGAAATTTTCCTATATATTTCTATTTAAGACTTTGATCCTCCATTGTGGCCCCGCCCTACCCCCGGGGTCATGATTTGATCAAAATAGAATCTACACTACCTTAGGATGCTTCCTTATAAATATGATCAATCAGGGCTTTGCTGTTTCTGAGAAGAAGATTTTTAAAGATTTTTCCTATATATTTCTATGTAAAACTTTGATACTCCATTGTGGCCCCGCCCTACCCCCAGGGGTCATGATTTGAACAAACTTGAATCTACACTACCTGAGGATGCTTCCATATAAATGACTCATCATGGCTTTGCTGTTCTTGAGAAGAAGATTTTTAAAGATTTTTCCTATATATTTCTACGTAAAACTTTGATCCTCCATTGTGGCCCCGCCCTACCCCTGGGGGTAATGATTAGAACAAACTTGAATCTACACTACCTGAGGATGCTTCCATATAAATATGACTCATCATGGCTCTGCTGTTCCTGAGAAGATTTTTTAAGGTTTTTCCTATATATATCTATGTAAAACTTTGATCCTCCATTGTGGCCCCGCCCTTCCCCCGGGGGTCATGATTGGAACAAACTTGAATTTACACTACCTGAGGATGCTTCCATATAAATATGACTCATCATGGCTTTGCTGTTCTTGAGAAGAAGATTTTTAAAGGTTTTTCCTATATATATCTATGTAAAACTTTGATCCTCCATTGTGGCCCCGCCCTACCCCCAGGGGTCATGATTTGAACAAACTTGAATCTACACTACCTGAGGATGCTTCCACATTAGTTTCATCTTTCCTGGCCCTCTGGTTCTTGAGAAGAAGATTTTTAAAAGATGCTATTAATTTTTCACTAATTCTTTATTATCTCCCCTTGAAAGAGGGCGTGGCCCTTCATTTGAACAAACTTGAATCCCCTTCACCCAAGGATACTTTGTGGCAAGTTTGGTTGAAATTAGCCCAGTAGTTCTGGAGAAGAAGATGAAATTGTGAAAAGTTTACAACGACGACGACGACACCGACGACAACGACAGACAACGGACAAATTTTGATCAGAAAAGCTCACTTGAGCCTTCGGCTCAGGTGAGCTAAAAACTCGCCGTGAGGGCTCAGCAGATGGATCTGATGTTTGTTATTGTCAACAACAAGGATGTTGCAGAGGGAATCACAATCAACATCATCTGGACTAAAGCTCTCTGTCAGGTTCTGCCCCTGGTAGAGTGACTTCACATGACCAGAGGGAGACATAATCACTAGATCACCTGTAGTACCACTTGTACTGTTCACAACACAGATATCACGGTTAATGTTCTGTGTGACTCTATAAGGCAATGTAAACATTCTTGTCTGACCGTCCTCCTGGTACTCATACTCTTTGATGACATCACCTATCACTGTGATGTGTCTCACCATGCAGACGTCTGCTATGCGAGCTTAATTTATAGAGACCTGATTCATTGTCTTTCAATGTGAACAGTAGTCCACCGTCCACTGTCTGACAGATTCCTCCTGGTACCAGTGGATCTGTACTGATGACTGTAGACACAGATCTTGATGGTAACAGACAGCTGATGGAATGGTTATTAAAATCAGTACAATAAACATCACCAGCATCATTCACACACATATCATATGGACTGATATTACATTTTTGTTTTTTCTCACCTTCTTTGTTAACTTCTTCAGTGTAAGGTGACCTCCATTGTCTTATATAACATTTTTGAATAAGTTTTCCTATTATATCACAAATGTAATAAGCTTCACTATAAACCCTGAAGAATGCTGAATCAAACCGGAAACAGTTATGTCACACACCGGAAACAGTTACTGTAAACGTGGTTATTTTGACGAGTTGAAAAATTGACGATTTTTTGTTTACGAAAATTGACGAGTTTTAATTTTGACGAAATATTGAATCAAGAGTTATGTATATCTTTCATTTCACAAGATTAAAACAAAAATGAATACAAAGAACTCCTAAAAAAAAAAAAAACCAGTTTCAAAACTAGTACTCAGAGTAAGTTCGCCAGAAGCTAGAGGACCAAAAACTTGATGGATTCATTGGCTAGGTTCACTTCAGAACGTCTACGATTAAGCCGCTCTGTGCGAGTTCACGATGTTATAAGCAAGGACCGCGACTTCCTTGGGAACTCATTTACAAGCGTTCTCATCAATAAAATTTAATTTTGCTTGTAAAAACCATCTACAGTGTATAAGATTTGATTGAATTAATTGCTCTTTTGTACTAGTCTTTGTTTTCATTATGCGAGACCGATTGCCTGAAGTGACAAAGTAGGTCAAACACGGCGTGATAATTACGCAAAGTTAGAATGTTGTGACCATGGGTAATAATAGTATATGATATACTCGATGGTTTTTAAAACTGTGATTATATGTTTTCATAACTATTTACAATAAAATCAAACAGTAATTTTGATCTAGTTTTAATGGGGGAAGCCGAGAAAATTAAGCGGTAAAGTTGTACGACGGTTAATGTCTGTTGTGACGCTATATATATGATGTGAAGTTTGACGAGTGGAAATTTTGACGAGAAAAGAAAAATCGTCAATATAGTCAAAATCAGCACGTCGTCAAAATTTCCACGTTTACAGTATATCACCCGGCGGAAACAGTTATAACCCCCCCAACCCCCCAACCCCAACCCCCCCCCCAACCC